CATTAATGGACCCAAAAAGATATGGGTACCCAGAATTTCATAATTGTCTATTATAGGTGTATTGGAGAAATGGTGAGCAATGTTAAGGCATTTAAAGGCTCTAGACACACTAAGGAAAGAACTTGAAGAATGGGAGTAGATCAATCTTAAATCAAGTGGTAAATGTTTTAATTTCATGCAATTTGTATGCTTTTACGTGATTACATGTGTTTTTGTTGTTGGTTGTGTGTCCCCAAGTTATGCTTAATTGTAATTAGTGAAGGGGTAAATATTGCATGAATTGTATTTTGAGGCATTGTATGCTTAATTTAATATTCTTTGGCCTTAATTAATCGTTGTGGTATGTTTTGGACCTTTTTTTCTAAGTAGAAAACACTTTAAAAAGTCTGTAATATACACTCAAGCAAAGAACCTAGAAAACGCTTTAATTTAGTACCAATCTATAACTTTTAGTGCTTAAATAAGTTTCTAGTGCATTCTATAACCTTAAAATCATCAGGTGCTTATTCCAAAAGAGTTTTAGGGTTAAAAATGTTATTTTCGACATTTTCAAGCTTTTGGTATTGAGACTGATATATCGGTATCGAGATTGAAATTTAAGTGGCCAAAAATGGTATTGATACCTCTTAGTCAGTAATGATACTGATCATTAAGTATCGAGACCACTACTCTCGGTATCGAGATTGGGGGGTCTGTTCGCATGTTTCTGAGCCTTTTTATCTCAAAATCCCTTATTTTCTTTTAAAACCCTAACCGACCATCTCTCAAAATTCTCCCAAATGTACTATACTCAAACTTGTTTGGAATTAAATTTTTACTCAAATACTTCAACCTTACAAGGTTTCAAGTGGATTTGCATTAAGGACTCATCAAAAATCCATCTTTTTCTTCAAAGATTGAGGTAATTTTTGAATAAACCCTTTTTAATATTTTTTAAAAAAAATATTGTTTTAAATTCGTATTGAATCATGTTTTTAAGTTGCATTTAGTTCTAGAAATGATATATGCATGTTTAAATTTTTTATTGCATTAAATACATGTTTTACTAAAAAATTCTTTAAATTGAGATTTCAAAATTTTTCAAAAACATGCAAATTTTGAACTATATAAATTGAATTGATTGGGATATTCTTCGCATGTTTTTCTTTCAGGAGGTTAGCCCATTCACTGTTTTTAGCTTAGAACCATTGTTTTAGGTTTTCCCTTTAAGTGTTCGATAAAATTCCCAAACAAAAATTCTTTTTGTCGTATTGTTATTTCATCTTCAAAAATGCCTACTAGAACAAATCCCAAGCATCCTATGACTAGTAGAAGTCTCCTCCAAGGTTAATCCTCAAATTCCTCAAATTTTGAAAACGCTTGTTTTAGGAACCCCAATGCCCTTTACTTGTTCAATAGATTTTAGAAAAATTAAAAAATATTTTATTCCAAGTGTACTATGGACCCTCATTTTCTCATTTCTGAAGTGTATCAGTTTCCTATTTTTGAAACTTCGTCTTGTAGGGATGGTTGGACTTGTTTTGTATTCTTCCCAAGGTTCATCCAAACCTTGTTCGTTCTTTCTTTACTAACGTCATTCTTATCCATGCCCAAGGTAATGAGGATAGAATCGTTGGAATTGAGTCATGCCTCATGGGTCAAACCTATACTCTTAGTCCACCATCCATCGCCACCCATTTAAATATCATTGATAGGGATGATGATCCTTTTAAAGAAGTTTTCCATACTAGTTTTGAAATATTCCCTTATTATAACCCTACTCATCTTGATTTACCGGATCATCTCTTGCTACTCCTCATTACTTGATTTCCCATATGCGCACTTGCGACTATTGGTGGTTTTATAACATTAAGAACAACATCCTCCCAAACTTTAAAAAGATCATATTCTTAGAACTTGTTGATGTTTTCCATAAAGGGTCCAATTACACCAAGACACCTCCTTATGATTACATTCTTAGCTATATATTTAGGGATAAACTTAGAGTCTCTACCACCCTTAATCCTCCTATTCCACTCATTAATGTCATTGATCTTAAATCGGCCCACAAGGCCAATTGGGATTTTGATGACTTTTCCAGTGAGTGGGGTCCTTATCAAAGAAACTTAAACGACGTCGAAGAGAAAGAGGATGAAATGGAAAAGAAACTAGTGCTCCTACCTAAAGAGAATATATCAATGAAGACTTTGTACGATCACGTGATGCAAAGACTCGAGAGCAAAGATACTCGCTTGGATGCTCTTGAGAGTGACGTTCGCTCGATACATCATCACTTGTCGCCTCATTCTCCTTTGCCACCGCCTTCGGAAGATTAGGCATTTATTTGTCACTTTAGGACATTTGCATTTTGATTTGGACTTGTGCACTTTATGACTTATTTTGGAACTTTATGTTATTTTATGTTTGATACTTGATTTGTTGGTACTTTATGGATTTATGTTTGAATTATTGATGTTGATATTATGCTTTTGAACTTGATTATTTTATGATAAGCATAATTTGACTATTGAGTATTTTATGTTGAATATTTGACTTCCCTATTACACTAACATATTTTCTCTTTTGAAGCTTAATTTGATTTTACTATAACAAAAGGGGGAGAAATATGTATACATGTAAATTGGTTAGCCAAAAATTGGTTTTTTTTCTAAGAGGGAGACTTATTTTAAAATTGTTAAAATTGTTAAAAGTAAATTTTCACAAAAGTTTTGTTATAACAAAGAGGGGGAGATTGTTGAACTAAATTTTGATTTTGATATAACATGATTATTATAATATTTTAAAATTGTTAAAATTTGCAATTTCACGATATTTATATATAATTTGTCATAAACAATTTTAAAGTATTTTTATGTGTGAAAAATAATCCCAAGTGTCTTTGAGTTAATCTGGTTTTTATAAACATTAATTTTATAGCTCAAAACACTTACTTTTTGCCAAAACAAGTGTCAATCTTGAGACCATACATTCAGTCTCGATACCAAAATACCATAATACTTTTTGGTCTCGATACCAAGGCCCAGTCTCGAGACCAAAGGGTGGGTATCAATACTGAAGACTTAACAACTATAAATTTTACCGTTAGAAGGCTCAGTCTCGATACCAACTTGTTGGTCTCTATTCAATCCCCAACAACTCCAAACGGCTAGATTGATGTTAGAATTCATCAAAGGACAAAGTTTTAAATGGAGAACAACAAGAAAGTCAATTGCGAGATCATTTCAACATCAAAAGAGTTTTTACTGCTAAATTATCAAATTCTTTGTAAATACACTTGTGAGCTTCTTGTTTATTCTTGCTCAAGTGTAATTTGGGTGTGTGCTAAATTAGTTGCAAACTCATTTGCCTTTGTGAGGTTTTCCTTTGTTGGCTAAGTTTGTAATTTCTCTTTGAGAGAGTGTGTAAACAAGGTTTTGGGGTATAAACCTTGTGTGTCTTTGTAAGCTTACACCTTATCCTTTTAAGGTTTGCAAATCTAGTGGATTTGAGAAATCCTTAGTGTGGATAGCTAAGGTAGTAGATGTAGACTTGGTTTAGAAGTCGAACCACTCTAAATCGTTGTGTAATTTTTTATTCTTAGATTGCTTCCACCAAAATTTTAAAAGGCCAGTTCACCCCTTGGCATTTTTCGGTTGTTCATTAGAGCTAACAATTTTAATGTTAAAAACTCAACAGTATTAGTGTCTAGTGGGCACTGGGCAGTGGCTTAGTGCCTTAATGCAAAGTTTTTAGTATTTATGGAGTATTAAATCATTGATATTTACTATTTAGTCATATGTAGTCGAGTAATATAATACCATATAATGTGTTGGAATTTAAAATATGAATTGGTTTTTTATGTTGCTCTAATTAAGTGTTGATATTTGTCTTAGTTGAACGTTTGAAACACGTGTTTATTGCTTAGTTTAAAATTTCTGGATTTTTTTAATACATCACTTAAAATATTTATGAATTTTTTTAACCTATATCATAGTTATAATTCATCTTCTTATAAGGATTTTATGTGCATATTTTTTTTATTTCTACCAGAATTATATAGCTAATAATATACCAGAATTTTTTATGTGTAGAATTGATTTTCAGGTTATGTGCAGCAGAATTTTATATCTAACATAGCAAATTTTTTTTTTCAGATTATGTCAGTGGTGGAAGAAAATATTGCTAATTTAAGGAAGATATATTCCTCAGCTGAGTCATCTAAAGAACCTGAAATAGTGACAGAGACTCCAATAAATAGAGAAAAAAAAAAGGAAAAAAGCTGAAGAATCTACAAATGAAAGAGGTAATTAAGGGGAAAAAATCTGCTGGTTGGGATCATTTTAAAGCAATCGAGGGTGATAAAGATCATGTTGAATGTATTTATTGTTCTCAAAAGATATCTTGTGCATCTAGTAATGGAACTAATGTTATGAAACGCCACACTAGTCGGAGTAAGAAAGCCCCTTTTAATGTAGATATAAAACAAACACAGTTGTGTTGATTTTATGCAGATTGAGGGCTAGTCTTTATGAGTACTTTTATTCTAACGACTACGTCATTCTCTCTAATTGTTTCGAGGAGATTTTGAAGAAGGATCCGACATGCTGCCATTCATCAGAAAGGCTTATCAGCATGCATCAAAATGGTATATTATTAATTATTTTGCATAGATAGACCAGTGTTCGCTTTATTTGGCAGTTGTTTCTCTATGACTATTCTTATCCCTTCTCGTGACACATGACTACCATCCATTCCCCAGAAATTTTCTCATTATCATCGTTTTTTCCGCTTCCACTGCCTTTTTACTTGATCGTAGATGCTCATACATATATAAGTTTGATTTCAATGTCTTTTCAGGCGATTATAGTATGGATTCTCTTTTAGAGATGATTGCTTTGCATGTGGAAGCTACATTTCCAGAGTCCGATACATGGAGGGAGTTTGTTTCATGCCTACTCAACCTATATCAATACTAAGAGGATCGACTATCCATATGTCTCGATAGAGACAGGTGTGACCGAAAAGCAAATCACTCTATTTATTACAAAAGGATGCCAAGAATATTTACCGAGGTAAATGTGAGAAAAGTTTGGAGATTACGCTGCAGGTGGTGGTTAAAACATCCCTTTGGCAAGCAGATCCTCGCATCCGAAATCACGTCAGGTGCGCTCCCATTTCCCGTCATGGAACAATGTTAATCCACACCATAATGCTTTACTGTTTATCTGAGATGACATACGAATTACAACCCCGTGGTTGAGATAACTGCTTGACATCATCGTTTTGTCATGCATTATTCAATCTGCTTGACATTACACTTTCGTCCAGCATCACATTACTAAGATGAATAAATAAGATGTTTTGGAACAGAGATGCTGGAGCTTTCAACTTACAAAGCAGCTTGTGCTGCTCATTTGTATGATTAAGAATGCCATTATGTTCTGAAGGTTTACACTCATTTACAAGAACACCATGAGAGTGTTCTTTGCGAATTCTTACAATTACATGTGGAGAATTCCATCGGACTAAACGTGAAATTGCAAGGAGACTGATCTTCAATTTGGTTTGAATAATTGTACTTTCTTTAATTTTTGTACTTTAATTCATATCGTACGTGTTTAGATTACCTTAACATAAATGAAATCAAACTAAAAAAAGTTGAATAAAAAATCAAATATCATAATTCGAATATGTAACACCCTAATATTGTTCGACCTGAAAATCGAAGGATTAAAACGTCACACGGGTCCATTGAGTAGTTAACCTATTTAAAAAAAAACTCATAGAAGTCATCATTAAATACTATCGATCAATATCACACTAAGAATGGAAGACGTAACAAATCAACCTTAATTCAAGTAGTCAAATGTTCTAATTTCATGCAACTTCATGAATTTGTGTTTTTAAATGTGTAGATGCATGATTAATTGTTCCCCACATAGTGCTAAATTGCAGCTACTTTGGGGGTTAACATTGCATGAATTGTATTTTTTTGGTCCTATGTGTTTATGATGATTTTCTTTGTCCTTAAATTACTTTTTGTGATATATTTTTGGAACTTGATTGATCTAACTAGTTATCTCTTCAAAAATTTCATAATATACATTCTAGTAAAGTACCTAGCAAAAATCTCTAAATTAATACCAAACCATAATTCTTAGTAAAGTTTTTAGTGCAATATGTAGTCTTACAATCATTACGTGATTATTCTGGAAGTATTTGAGGATTAAAAATGTCAAAATTGATATTTCCAAGCATTTGGTATCTAGACTGCCAACTCGGTATTGAAACTAAAATTCAGTAGCAATTTTCGGTATCTATATCACCTATCAACACAGATAACAATTAGGAAGCCTCGAGACCGCCAATCTTGGTATCAAGATCGGGGCTCCTGTATGTGTTAAAAGGGCTACTTTAATCCGAAAATTCACCATTTTATCACCTCTTTAATACCCTAAACTAACATCCATTTCAATTCAAGCTTGGTTTTAGTTAAATTTCCACCCACAATATTCATCCTTTCATCATCTCATGTGGATTTGCATCAAAGCCTTCCTCAAAATCATCATTCTTTTCATCAAAAATTAAGGTAATTTTTCTTTAACCCTAAATATTCATATTTCAAAATTTATGCTCATAAATTGCTTTTAACCATATTTTAAGTTGTTCTTTATTCTAAAATGAGTTACATGTCTTTTGAAGAAATTTCTATTGCTTTAATTACATGTTTTTTCCAAGCAAATTTCAAAAATTTCTTATATAAGGATTCCAGATTTTTTTTTCTCATGCAATATCTGAATATTTTGTTGCAATTGGATTTTGATCATTGGTTACATATATGTATGTTTTTAATATAGGAAGTTAACTCACTCATCATTTTTCTTTAGAACCCTTAATTTTACGTTTTTCCATCAAGTATTTGTTAAAATTCCCAAAAGAAATATCTCTTCTCTTAGCCACTGTATTTTTAATAAGAAATGTCTCCTAGAACGAACCTTAAACGTCTGAGGACTGCTGGTACAATTCATCTGGGTCAAACCTCAAGCTCCTTAAATTTTGAAAATGCTTCCTTTAGGGGTTCTAATGACTTTGATCTTTACAACCATTTTTATTTAAACTAAAGCTCTTGAACTGAGCGAACTATTGTTCCAAATTTCCTTATGTCATGGGTTTATCAATTTACTATTTTTGAAACTTTGGTTTCTTGGGGTTGATTTGATTTATTTAGCATCACTCCTAAAGGTGAATTCAAACCTTCTTTGTGCATTCTTTTGCAAACTTATACTTGTCCATGAGGAAAATGATGTAAATAAAGTCACTGGATTGAGTCATACCTTATGGGGAAAAAATTTACTCTTAGTCCCTCCTTCATATCTACTTATCTAAATATTAATGATGATGGTCCCTTCAAGGAAAATCAATAGGTACAAATGGATAGGTTTTACATTGATTGCCCCACTTCCTTAGAGTTCTCAGAGATAACCCTATTTCCCTAGAGTCCCAGTCGTCTCCTTTTTCTTCTCATTATTTGGTTTTCTCGCCCTTTCGGTGGTAAAGCTACCAATATGCGTGCTTGCGATTATTGGTAGTTTTATCTTGTCAATAACAACATTCATCCTAACTTTTCCATGATCATATTTTTAAAGGTGATCAATGTTTTCTCAAAAGGGGTGAACTATGCAAAAACTCTTCCCTCTTGTTGTATCCTCAATTTCATCTTTAGGTATGTCCACTTCTTTTGACCTTTATGTTACCTTTGTTAGTGTCATCTATCTCAAATCGACCCACAAGGCCAACTTGGATTTTGATGAGTATTTCGATGAATGGGTTCCTTATAGAAGAAAGTATATGAATGATGAAGAAGACAACGAATTGGAAGAACCTCCCATGCCACCACCTTAAGAGGAGATCACTATGAAGACCATGTATTACTACATGGTTCAAAACTTTGGGAACTTGAATGCTCAAATGGTTTCCATGGATCATCGCTTAGAAAATGTTGAGAATGAAGTTTTCTTCATGTGTCATCACTTGATGCCTCCCTCTCCTTCGACACCGTGTTCGGACGAATAGGTATTTTTATGTTGCTTTTAGGACATTTGCATTATTATTAGTCTTATGCACATTTATTATTGTTTATGTTTGATAGTATTTATTTTGGTACTTTTGTTTGAGTTACTCTTGTTGGTAATTTTATGCTTAAGAATTTGTTGAATCTCTCCATTGGAACATATGTAGTTTCTTTGAAAGAACCATCATCATCATAGATATTTAACTGGGTAGCAATGGAGGATGGACTAATAGTAAATGTTTTTCCCATGAGATATGACTCTATCCTCATCATCTTCGGCATGGAAAAGAATAAAATTTGAGAAGAATGAATGAACAAGATTTGGATGAACCTTAGTAGAAATGCTAAACAAGTCTAACGAACCCCACGAAACGAAGGTTTCAAAGATAGTGAATTGATAATCCCATAACATAAGAAAATTAGGGTTAATGGTAAGCTCAGAATAAATAGATTTACTTTTGTAAAAGAGATTGAATAGGTCTAGAGCATTAAGGTCCCTAAAGCAAGCATTTTCAAAACTTGCAAAGTTTGAGGATTGACCTTGATAAGAATAACCACTAGTCTTAGGACGTTTTAGGTTCTTTCTAGGAGGCATTTTTTAATCAAAATAGTGGGTATCACAAAAGGAATGTTCTTTTGGGAATTTTGTCGAACACTTGGAGGACAAACCTTAAACAAAGATTCTAAACAAAGAATGATGAATAGGTTGACCTCGTACAATGAAAACATACGTAATATATCCCAATAAACTAATCAATTTTATCAAAATTGTTCAAAATTACACAACTTAGAAAATTTTTGAAATCCCGTTTAAATAATTTTTGAATTTTTTTGAGCAAAGCATGTTGTTAATGAAATAAAGAAAAGTTTAAAAATATATATATCATTTATAGAACCAAATTCAATTTAAAAACATGATTAAAGATAGAATTTAAGCATGATTTTTGGGAAAAAAAATAGATTCATTCAAAAACACCTCAATTATTTATGGAAATGGTGGATTTTTTATGAGTCCCTTGAAGCAAATCCACCATGGATGAAGAATTTGAGTGAAAACTTATTTGAGTATAGTGGATTTGAAAGGATATTAAGAGAGGAATGATTAGGGTTTTGAAAATATGAAGAGATAGGCATTTTTGAAATAAAATTACACTTTATCACTCGTATAGAGGCTCCGATCTCGATTATGAGATTGAGGTCTTGAGAGTCTCCTATGTGTATCGATACTGAATCATGGTATCGATATCGAAAATGTCTATTGGAAATTTGGTATCAATACCAACATGTTGGTCTCCATACCAAAGCTTAGAAATGTTGAATTTGACATTTTTAACCCTCCAAATCTTGTGGAATAAGCACCTAATAATTTTCAGACTATAGAATGCACTAGAAACTTATTAAAGTACTAAAAATTATAGGGTTAACTACTTTAAATACCATCAACCTTTAAGCACTGACTCGTACCACCAACGTTTCAATTTTGCCAATTTTAACACTAACGTTTACGTTTAAGTACAATTATATCACTCTGTCGTTAATGGTATAAAGGAAAAATGGCGTGTCAACGGCATGTTGTGACGTCACTGATGTAGATGCCTCATCTAAACATGTCATTTTGATGTTTCTATTTTAGTTCTCAAAAGACTCAAAATGACGTCGTTTTACTTGAACCTTAATTTTCCTAGGGACTAAACTCAAATTTTCTTATTATTTTTTTCTCTTCTTCCTCCTCATCTTCATCAGCATCTCTTTTTTCATAGTTTTCTTGGCATTCAAATAAAAGGGATCAATGAGGCCATGTTTGTGATTAGAGGATACATGACCTTAAGTGATAGGGGTCTTTACTCTACTGATCAAGTCGTCAAGGATCTCGATGGAAGCTTTTCCTTTTTTTTTACGACAGCAATACTGAGACTGTGTTTTCCAACCTGGTAATTAAAATCAAAACTCATCATCACCCCAAGTTGAAATCTTGGAAATTTTAACCGAAAGGTATACTTAAAAACAATAAGTTTTTATTTTTATTTTCAGGACTCAGATTGTGGGGTCAAGTTGTACTAGAGAATTGCAGTTGATAGATCTGTGGTGATATCAGATGATTTCGAGACATCAAAGAAGGGTGTGCTAAATCATTTTCTTCATTCCTAAAAGATACCCTAAAATTTCAAACTAATTGGTCTGACTGCTTTTCCCATTAATAACATGGAAAATTACACATAAAAAGGGTGACATCCATGGATGTGGTGTTCTCTCAAAGCTTTGAACAAACACTAGGGTTTTTTTTTCTTATCAAGTTTTTTTCCTTTGTAGTTTTGTACTTTTTTAGAGACAAATTGAGGTGGTTAAAATATACATCAGGCCCTTCCACTGGGATACCAAGAAAACAATGGAAAAGGAGATGCAGATGAAGATGGGGAGGAAAAAGAGAAAAAAATAATGGGAAACTTTTAAGTTTAGTCCATAGGAAAATTAGGGTTCAAGCAAAACGACGTCATTTTGAGTCTTTTGAGAACTAAAA